GTATTTGTCTTGCGTGGCTTGTGGTTATTCAAAATCTCGGGCTCCCATGCCCTTTGATGACATAAGGAAAACTAAAATCAGGAAAACCGAAAGTGATTGACACAAAACCGAATTATTCATTTAATCGATTCATTTTTGGATCGATAGTGAAAACAAGTTTGTAAATAAAAGGCTTTGTATACGATGTTTACCTTCGGAGAACAGGACAACATTGCATCTTGGTGATTCCACTGATCAAGAGTCGCAGCTTCGGCTTTGAGAAAACCAGGAGATAGTTTATAACAAGAGCTCAGGCTTGACCCTAATGGTGACATCGCTAATGCAACTCGCTGGATAAAAAAAATTACGCTTCTCATCACGTATTGTCGAGCCATACTTTTTTTTGGTTGAAGGTGCTTTATATTACTCAAAAAATATGATTTACACGTGTCTTTAGGCATTTAAAAAAAGACCAAAAGACCATAAATTTCTCATGTGCAAGTGGGCACTTACAATCATTACTCTACTTCAACAATTTTTCAGCGATTTCTCGTCAAACAATATCAATATTCAAGCAGTCGGCAATTCAAGTTGTGTCGATGTGTTACCTTCATGGAGAGTAGGGTATCTCTCATGATTCTGTCAATTTTGCAACGGATCTCACGATAGTCCTCCTTTATTCTTGAAGATTCGGTTATTTCGTTCCTTCCATAATTCATAAACCGTCATCTGGGTACATAGTTTAGCCAACATTGGTTGTTCCCGGTCACGAGCCTTCGAAGGGTCTTTAATCCACTGCAGATAGTTTGCAAGCCCATCAGGTGGTGAAGGCCAACAAAAACCTGCAATGCAAGACCATATTTCGCCACCAAAACAACATTTGAAAAACAAATGCTCGTGTGACTCCTCTTCCAAGGAGCATAAGTTGCATGTTGTGTTTATCTACATTCCCCATGATTGTAGGCGGTTCCCTGTCGGCAATCGTTTCTGGATCGCTTGCCAAAGTACAAACGCCATTCTCGGAATTGAGCCCTTGAACCATATCACTTTATGCCAAGGAACCTCCGTTGTTGTGGTTCTGAGTAGCAGTCTAGTACTTCCAGAATGAAAATATGCTTTTGTAGTCACCTGATTTTTGGCGCCATAGGTACTGGTCTTCTCCTCATTCCTCCTAGGGTTTAGGGTTTAGGGTGGCACAACAGTTGTCAGGATCATTTGTATTCGAATCAGATTGTCATTCCTTGTTGTGGAAGCTGCCAGCAACCCTTCGGAGCTGCTTCGACTACAGTCGCTAGACGATGTACTCGAGATAGTCTTGGACCGGATTCACCAGCAACGGAAATCAAGGGCCCCATCTCAATCCATGAATCTAACCAGAATGAAACCTTCTTTCCATTACCAATAGCCACACGCAGAAAGTCCCTAGCCAGGTTCCTCATCTTGAGCAATTTTCTGAAGTTGTAGGATGCATTAGAATTCAAATAAGTATCCCAAAATCCCTACTTCCTGATAATATTCTCTTTGGTCCAATCAACCCATAATGATCCATGTTTAGTAAAGAGTAACCAAAACAATCTTAGATGGAAGGTAGTATTAGCATCCTCAAGCTTGAACAAATCGAGCCCTCCTTCCCTCTGTTAGAGGATATTATTGGAGCATTCATTTGTTCCTAGTTTTTGGTTATTTAGAAATGTGTATTTGGTAATTTGTGTTCCTAGAATTTTACAAACTATTTATTTTATGTTAGACTAGATTTTATTATGTATCATTATTATCATGTACTAGATTGTTCTTAGGAGTAGTATATATATGTGTGACCTTGTAGAATTTGCAATACAAAAAAATATTCTTGACCATTGGCTTATATGGTATTAGAGCTCGAAATCGTCTAATCGACGTTTTTCTTCCAAACCTCAATGCCACATTCCTCATTCTTCTTCACCTCGATCATGGCCGCTGAAAACTCAGCTTCCACCACCTCTGACATTCCGAGCGACACCGTTTTCCCCTATGATTCCAGTAGCACTGTCAATCCTCTAACAACTTTGGCTCTCCTTTAGCTGATCCGACAGAGTATCGGCAAATCCTCGGCAACTTGCAGTACCTTCTCTTCACACGTCCCGACATCGCGTATGCTGTTAATAAACTCTCTCAGTATATGCATTCTCCTACCTCGGAACATTGGCAGGTCGTTAAACAAATACTTCGGTATGTTGGGGGCACTTGAAACATGGGTCTCTTCTTCTCATGTTCGAATTCTTCAACTCTTCATGCCTTCTCTGATGCCGATTGAGGTGACGATCGTGATGATTTCGGCTCCACCGATGCCATACTTGGGTCATCATCTTGTTTCTTGGTCCTCTAAAAAGCAGCGCTTTGCGGCCAAGTCCTCCACGGAAGCTGAATATAAGTCTGTCTCTACCACTGTCTCTGAAGTACAATGGGTTGTCTCACTACTATCTGAACTTAAACTTGCCCTGTTATCTGCTGCGACAATGTAACCGATCTTTCATTCCAGAATGAAATACATCGCCATTGACTACCACTTTATTCGTGGTCTCGTCCAAGCTCAGAAACTTCACGTCGTTCATGTATTTTCGGCTGATCAACTCGCCGACGCTCTGACTCGCGTCGTTCATGTATCTTCGGCTAATCAACTCGTCGACGCTCTGACCAAGGCTATTCCGAAGACTCGATTTGAACTAGTTCATACCAAGATCAGTCTCTCACCCGTGCCCGATCTTGCGGGGGCATGTTAGAGGATATTATTGGAGCATTCATTTGTTCCTAGTTTTTGGTTATTTAGAAATGTATGTTCAAAGTTTGGTAATTTGTGTTCCTAGAATTTTACAAACTATTTATTTTATGTTAGACTAGATTTTATTATGTATCATTATTATCATGTACTAGATTGTTCTTAGGAGTAGTATATATATGTGTGACCTTGTAGAATTTTGCAATACAAAAAAATATTCTTGACCATTGGTTTATAATATCCCCCAAGCAATTCTACGCAGTGTTCTAGTGCTCTATTGCCGAGCCATACTTGTGATGACGTTCACTTGTGAATCATTTCGAAAGGGAAGTGGAAGGCGATATTCAGTAATTGACATCGAGATCGAATTCGTAGCAGTTTGGTTAGGGGTGGCCATTTTGGGTTTCGGTTCGGTTTTCGGTTTGGTTATTTCGGTTATAAAAAATCATACCCAAACGGTTATATAGATTTATTCGGTTCGGCTCGGTTCGACTCGGTTCGGTTTCGGTTCGGTTCGGTCCGGTTTTTGCATAATAAAATTATAACCAAACGGTTAAATTTTTCGGTTTATTCGGTTCGGTTTTAGATCGATTCGGTTCGGTTATGATATATTTAAAAAAAATATTAATCCTATTCAAACTTCAAAATATCTATCCAAATAAATCCATAAAATAATTAATCCTCCGAAAAAGTTACAAAAAAATCTACAAAAACTTCAATAATTAGATTAAAAGTTAAAAATATTAAATTTTATGGTTTATTAGGTGAAATATATAAGGTACAAATGAACTACAAAAAATAACACTAATAATAATAAGGGTAAAAATTAAAATATTATAAAAACTCTAATAACCGTTCGGTTAACTGCGGTTATTCGGATATTAACTGAACCGAACCGAACCCGAACGGTTATTCAACTTCCTCAACCGTTCGGTTATTAAGCAAA